GTATTACAAAGTGACTATAGTCACTTCGTATATATTAATATAAATATATTATAAACTTCAATAGTATACTTCAATAGTAACTGTGTCCTGGCTCATTGTTTATGTGAACCTTGTAAGAAAAAATGCTGGAAGAAAACATGCATGACCAGCATTTGATATTGGTTGTATTTGAAAACCCTCTGGAAATATCAAGACTTTTAGTATTACCCCCATTCCATTGGAAATCTTGATGCAATGGTCAACTTCACCCCCTATCCTCTTGAATTTCCGATCTCTTCTGTAGCAGGGTGGGGTGTGTGTGGGGGGGGGGGCGAAGGCTATTTCCTGGAACTATGCAATTTGACTGAGTCATGTAGGAGTAATTTTTAGCATTAAGCATTCCCTCAAAAGGCAACCCCCAGACATATTTGCATGTTTTTCTTTAAAAAGAATGACTACCAGGTAGGTTGGTGAGAAAAAGAGCACTCCCTACTCTGGCGATGAGTGGTAAGAAATTCTCATCAGCCAGGGGCAGCCAAACTGATACAATGTCATGATCTGAGTATCATATTCTGAATTTAGTAATGTTCGAATCCCTGTAAAGGTGAGCAAGGTACTGAAATATCCTGTCATGTGAACAAGAAAACTTGAAAGCCTATAGCTAAGTTATATGTAAGCCAAACAAGGATCTTGTATTATGAATCCTGGTGTTTTTGTGCAGAACACAGCTCACAAATAACATGATAGTTTTTGGATTACTAAATTTTAAAGCTGTCATGTTAATATATAAATTTTCTTTTTGAAAGTATGTTTCTTAGGGCAGTTGCATATCAAGTAGTGAAGCTGTGTGGAGCTGTATACCAACAGTTCAAGAAGGTACCCCCTTCCTTGCTGTGCATATGCCAAGATACTGTTTCTGTCTTGTTTATGTGAACAATGAACATTTTGCCGAGATATTTTTTAAAACACCGACATCATGCTTGAAAGTATGATAGCAGTAAAAAACTGTTCAGAATTTCCATAGGGGTGGGGGAAATAAGCTGTCAGTGACAATTAGAAAAATCTAGAGGGGTGGGGGTTCATAATTAACTAATAAAATCTCTTCCATTAGCAGGGGGTATTGCCTAGAACTACACATTGAAATACTTAGTCTGGTTCACTCTTTTTCCCTTCGGTATACAGAGTGGTATAATTTGGCAGCCTTTTAATCAGGTTTTGTAACTTAAATCAGGAAGTTTTAACACCCAGTGTTTCAAACAACCAATATCAAATGCTGGATGCTCAGTTTAATAAGCAGCAGTCATGCATGTTTTCTTCCCGCATTTTTTCTTACAAGGTTCACATAAACAACAATGAGCCAGGACACAGTTACCACATTTATACCTATGGATCATTAATATATTAAAGTATACTATTGAAGTATACTATTGAAGTATATAATATATTTATTAATATATATAATTGAAATATATTTCCCACAACTTTGTGCAAATTAATATGTTTTCTTACGTGAGTTAGGATTTCCAATTTGGCAACACAGTCATCTTTAAGCCATCTCTCATTGAAGACGTTTCGTGCAATATAACGGAGGTGACAATGATTTTTTATAAGGAGACTGTGACCATTTGTTTTGGTTTTGGCCATCACATGTTTGTTTTATGTCACAAATATATAAACAAACCAAAACGTAAATAAATACAATCCAAAACGTACCAGGTGCCTGTTGAGGTTTCCCCAGACAATCCAGCAGACAGTGTTTGCTGCTTTTGATCTCTCTCAGTTATAGTACTTTTCGTGTATTATGTTTTTTTCAGTGGCAAGAGCTTCGACTGAAGTATCATAGGCCTCGCACAAATCCACACTTTTCTCCATATTTACATCACCCCCGCTATCACAAGAAACGTCTTCGGCAAAAGAGAGTTCGCAAGATGATTGTGTTGCAAAATTTGAGCTGTGGCTTTCGTCAGAAGACATAATTTTGAACAAAAAACAGCCTAGAATAAGCCTTTGATAATATTAATTTCTCCTTCGGGAAAGAAGCAGGCCTGGGAAAGAAGCGTGTTGAGTAAATGACGTCACATCCGGCTAAGAAATCAACATCTCGCTAATTGGCAACTCAGTAATGGCGGCCGAAAAATTTGCATGTTTGCGTTGAAAAAAAAGGCAGAAGGAAATGGAATTGGACGCTGATATTTGGTAATTTTGTTTATCTACTGACATACTTTCTGAATATACAATAAAAAGACAGCATTTTCCATCGCAGTGGCACTTTAAATAAGCTGGTTTATTATCCAGGTTCTAATTCACAACATAAAAACATAAAAAATTCAACCTTAACCATTCTCGGCTTATTCGCATGAATAATTTCACAACTGTTAAATATCTTTTTAAGGTATAATCGGGCAGTACTTTCTGTGGTTTTAGCAAATTTCAAAGCTGTCAGTATCTCTGGCTGTATATAAAAAGTGTTCGGTGCTTTAACTTTTTTATTCAACTTGCCTCGTAATCTTTTTCTGTCCCTGTAAATGGTAAGTTTGCCGGAAAGGTCGGATCGGACATTATTGCAGCATGGACATAATTGCACTGGATCAAAATACTACAACCTTCCCACTTCCGCTTTTGTAGTCTGTTGTCATTTACTATTTTGTTTTGACTTTTGCATTATTGTAGCGGTTGCCGAATTATGGAGAAATATGGCGATAAAGTTTAGTTGTTTTTCATTTTTGTAATATTTTAAATAATTGTAACAAAGGTTGCATTTTTCGTTTGATTCACTGCATATGAACACATAAAAGCTTTGAAATTTAACTTATGTCGTCGTATTTCCCTATAATTTGGTAACCGCTACAATAACAGAGATACTGCAGTAAGAGACAGAGATTTTTAAAAAAATAGTTTTTAAAAAAGTTTTAAAAGAGTTTAGAAAGCAACAAAGTTTAAAACGGTTAAAAAAGTTAGGGTTAGGAGCTAGGGATTAGTGGTTAGGAATTAGGGGATTAGTGGTTAGGGGTTAGTGCCTCGAATTTATTATTATGATAAATTCAAAATGTGCTGCGAATTTATCATAATGATAATTTTGGACGTGTTTAAGAATTTACTCATATAGTAAATTCAAAGGTGGAGCTCATGCTGAACTGCAACACTAGCTTGCCAGTTATTTTTTATGGCAGCTCCTATTTTTACTTTGTGCATGTTTGAGTCATGGAAAAGAACTGTTCTTTTGCTGGCCTGGGGAATTTTGCATGTGGAGAAAGCCGGGGAATACAGAAAGTTGCACAAATTGGGGAGTGTAATGCAGACATTTGTACTCACCCCAGCAGTTGTCACCTCACGAGGCTCACCTTCACAGCTTTGGATAACTCACATGCCTAGTTACTATTGTTCTAGTTTACAGAAGCATAGACTGAATAGAACAAAAGTAACTAAACATTAAACTTATGTATTATCACTTTATATTTACTGAGATCGAGGCCGAGGGAAACAGTGTGTTTTGTGGACCAGAGCCACTTATAGATAGTATATAAGTGTTAAAGTATGAATAATTCACCGATTATTGGAGTGAACTTAGCGGCAGATCAAGGCAGGGGCGCCGGAGCCAGGGGGGCAACTGCCCCCGTTGCCGAAACAGTGCGGGGGCGGCACGGGGGCAACAGGTTGCCCCTTTTTCACCAGAACTGCGCTTCGAAATTTGTGCGTTATTAACATGATTTGGAATTTATAACTATTTTAAGCAATCTTTGCTTAATTTTAACCAGTTGTAGTAAAATTAATGCCAGAGGCCGCGGAATTACTTTTGTATAATTGTGATCAAAATCAAACGATTTTTGAAAATATGGAGTTCCTATAAAGTCGGAAATGGCCTTTACTACTACAAAAAGGGCATTTACTACTACAAAAAGGGCATTTCCTTTCTAGCCCCCCAAAAAGGCATTTTTTCACTTTTAAAATGTGGTGAGGCACATGCCCCATTGTCCCCGGTTCCGCGGCCCCTGATTAATGCTAAAACAGGCAATATACATCTGTTTACTGATTTTATCAGCGCCCTTAACATGGTGCAACGAATAAAATTGTTCAAAATTAATATCGAAGTTTGCCGACAAACAATAGCCACCAGTAATCGAGTATCCATACAATAAAGTTTTAACAAATATTGCCGCCCAGAAAAATGATTGCTTAGAAGCAAATGCCCTTTTGAGTCTTTTGAAATGGCTGTCCCGCCGCTTCACATTGCTTCCGGCGCCCCTGGATCAAGGTCATAATCAGGAGATTATGGTATTGTGTCAATGTATTGACGAAGTTCTTATTATATTACCAATATATTATTTAATAACATTAAAAGATATCAGGATCGTAGACACCAGCAGAATCGTTGTAACTGTACTACTGTATGTGTATATTGAAAGTGTATAATTAGTGCAAGTGTATAAAGTTAAGTATAAATGTAAAGCAATTCGAATTCAAAAATGTTCTGTACACGATCGCTTAATTGTATATATTGTAATTATATTTTCACAAAATTGTATATGTTCTTTTGAACAAGCTAAAAAGGTTTACTCATGGGTAATAAATCAGCTTATTTTAACTCTTCAATTACTAGTGTCGCTGATCAGCGAACACGCGAATGTAAACAAACAGCTAAAAATAGACCCAATTTGGAGATTTATAACTTTTCAGAAAATTGCTTGCAGACGAGTTTTATTCCTGATTACTTAACTTTAGTAGGTATACTTTCAAATTACATGCCTTTTGAACTTCAGATAGGTGCCACTTTTGAGCTATTTTAAGTAAAATATGAGTAATTTTCAGCCTCTCATCGCCATCTTGAAAACATAGTTTCGTAAAACTATAAAAAAATCGTATTAAGCAAATAAAGTTGTTCAATCTCCATGTAAACGAGAGTATTAGTGTTAATCTTGCATGTGAACAGTAACTGGAGGGGATAAACGCATCACAACGTTTTTAAAAAATCAGATGAATTCTTGTAAAATTTCCCTTCATTTCCGGTCTGAAAATATTCTCGCAAGGTCAAATTTCAACATGGCTATAACTCCTATAAAACAGAAAGTTGAAACGTTCTGAAAGAAGCTCGATTAATATTGACCAAAGTCT